CAAGAATGGCCAGGCTTCGTCTCACCTATTTTGGTCATGTTGTAAGAAGGGACCATTCCCTGGAGAAGGATGTCATGCTTGGTAGGGTGGAGGGTCGCCAAAAGAGGGGGAGGCCTTCAACGAGATGGATTGACATGGTGGCTGTGATGATGGGCAGGGATTGTGGGGCTGGCGCGGGATCAGGCAGTGTTTCATTCTGCTGTGCATGGGGTTGCTATGAGTCGGAAACGACTCGATGGCACTTAACAACAACAACAACAAAGTGCAATCCTATGGAAGTGCCCTTAAGCAAGAAAAAAGGTTTAAAGTGTATTCGAATAAGGGGAATGTGTGAAAAGGATTTTTTTTAAAAAAAAAAGTCAAGTGAATTTAATTTATGAAAAATACTCAGTGATGTTATAAAGACAAGAAGGAAGCTCATTGCTGTTTAAAAATGTGTCTGTTTACCCCAGTGCTATTTCTTCTGCTTTATTTCCCCCATTTCAGTTTGAAAGCTGAATGGCTCTATAGTCAAGGCAAGGGAAGAGCATATCGGCCCAGCCAGCACATCCAGCTTGTCCAATATTTGGCTACAGTGTGTCCTCTCACTTCTACACTGGGTCTTCAAACTGCAGAGGATGCCAAACTAGAGAAAATTCTGAGCAAGCAGAGGTAAGATGAATTATTGCGACTGATGAATTCACAAGTGACAATACTTGAGTCTTTTCTGCTCCGTTAGTAGATCTCTTTGATAGGTGTGAGGGAAGTGCTTTAGCCCCAATTTGTTCCTATGCACTTGAGCACCTTATCACTGTGACATTCCTGCAGGGGAACTGAATCACAAAGGACAGTCCAGCTTGCCCTACCTTGAGAATTGAACTGCTAATCTTTTGCTGTGTGGGAGGACCAAGCAGCATGAGGGAATGGGATTTTTTTTGTTTGTTCTAATTGTGATTTGGAAAGTTTACCGAGCAAATTCATTTTCCATACAGCAGTTCATACACATTTTGTCTGATGACATTGACTGCAATTCCCCACAGTGTAACAGCTCTCTTCTCACTTCCTCCTTGTAGTTACCTCTTCCCTGTGTCTTTCCCTCCCATGCACTTCTGCCCCCAATGCCATCTCCCTGTGCAAAGGCTACCCTTCTGTTCACAAGGAGTGTATCTACCTGATGTAAATGTTAACCTCATATGCTTGTCTATTGTTTGGATAGAAGCCGAAGGAGTGAGTTCAGTTCCAGACCTGCAGGGTAATTAGGGGCCATAGTCTTAGGGGTCTCACCAGGCATCAGACCGGCAAACCTGGTCTTTTTTTATGATTTTGAGTTGCTCCACATTGTTTTCCCTCTCTATCCAGGATCTCCTGCACCAATCGCCTACTGGTTGACAGTGGTAGCCATCTAGTTCTTCTAATCTCGGCATATAAACTGAAATCACATGGTCTACTAGTCCCTTGGACTAATTGTTTCCATGCATCTTGCTTTTCTTCATTATTCTTTGCTCTGGATGGGGAGAGACCCATCGTTGCATCTAGATGGCTGCTTGCAAGCTTTTTTTTTAAAAAAATTTTTCTTGTGATTTGGATGAAAGTTTGCAGAGCAAATTCACTTTCCATACAGCAGCTCACATATACTTTGTGTCATGACATTGACTGCAGTTTTCCATAATGCAACAGCTCCCCTTCTACTTCCTCCCCATAGCTACCTCTTCTCTGTGTCCTTTCCTCCCATGTACTCCTGCCCCCCAACCTGTCTCCCTGTTTATGCACAGCCCTTCTATTCTCCTGTGATTGATCTCGCCAAGGAGTGTATCTACCTGATTTAAATGTTCAGCTCATATGCCTGTCTTTTACTTGGCTGGAAGCCACAGGAGTGAGTTTAATTCCAGACCTGAGGGGTAACTAGGAGCCACAGTCTCAGTGGTTCTATCAGGCTCTATCAGACCAGCAAACCTGGTCCTTTTTTTTTTTTTTTTAATGATTTTGAGTTTTGTTCTACATTGTTCTCCCAATCTATCCAGGATCTCCTACATAGATAACCCTCCAAGTGATTGATAGTGTGGTAGCCGGGCATCATCTAGTTCTTCTGGTCTTATAGTCGTATAGGCTGAGGATCACATGGTTTATCAGTCACGTGGACTGTTTCCATGTGTCTTTGGTTTTCTTTATTCTTCTTTGCTCTGACCACGGAGAGACCCATTGTTACATGTAGTTGGCCACTTGCAAGCTTTTAAGATCCCAGTCGCTACTTGCCAAAGTAGGATGTGAAACAATGTTTTTGTGTGGTATGTTGTGCCAATTGAACTTGATGTCCCCTGGGACCATGGTCCACAGCCCACAGGACAGGTCCAACTACTTGCTCCCTCTGGGTAGCTAGCTGTGGCCAAGAAGTCACCCCAACCTTGTCCCTTTTCAGCTCTACTATGTACCCAGACACTTTCTTTCTTTCTTTTTTTTAATGCGTTTTATTGAAATATAATTTATGTACAGTGAAATACACAAAACTAAAGTGACATGAGTCAGTGCATTTTTTTTTTTTGCAGTGTTCCCTCCCTTCCTCTCCCCTCCCACCCCTGACAACCAACAAAGACAGTTTCCCTCCATATATAAACCTTTCCTTGACCCTCCACAACAATGAACTAATACTGTATTCCTTCTGTGATTGACTTATTTCACTCAGCACAATGTCCTCCAAGTTCATCCATATTATGCAGTGTTTTGCAGACTCTACATTATTCTTGAGTGCTGTATAGCATTCCATTATGTGTATGTACCATAGTTTGGTCATCCACTCTTCTGCTATAAATCTTAGAGATAAGCCCCTTGCCAGATATGTATGCTATAAATCTTAGAGATAAGCCCCTTGTCAGATATGTAATTATTGGCAAATAAGAATTTTTTTGTGGTGTCGATTTCTTTGTTCCACATAATTTTCTATGCTGAGCTCATTTTGTTTATGAATAGTGTTATCACTTCCTTCATGGCTATTGTTTTAGTATTTTCTGAATATTTATGCTGGTCCCCTTTTTTGATGTGAAGGTTTATCATTTTTCTTTGAGGTTACCCTGTGATTTATAGTTTTCTTGACTTCCCTACCATTTAGAAGTTCTGTAACGACACAGTTTTTTCCCTCTTTTTGTGTTGTAGTTGTCCTCATTTGCCAATTGATGTCTCTGGTTCCTTGTTTACAGTCTTGTAGGCTTATTTACTTTCGATACTTTCATCGCTGTATACACCCAGACATCCTTATAGTGCAGACAAATATGCTTGTAGAAACATCATCTGCCAGCCCTATACTTAGTCATGGGCACATTCCCACCCTTTCTAGACATACCTGATCTTTCAACCTATCCACCCATCTATCCACTCGTAGATCAATGCTTGCCATCACTGACAACGCAGTACTGTAAATGCAAAAAGGTTTATCTTTGTTATCTGTCCCTTGGGAATGGGATTTTTAAAAAATGTATTCATCCTGTTAATGCAGATTTTTTATATGGGCTTTTAAATAACATTAGGTATAGCTAAAAGAATGCAGAAAAGTTTTTTATTTTTCTGGTTGTGTTAAATTACATCAGATGTTGATTTTTAGATTTCACCAGAGACAGTTGATGAATCAAAGCCAGAATGAAGAATTATCTTCTCTTGCTTCTGTTGAAACAAAGTCACCCCTCGTACCTGAGCATTCAAGTCCTGTTCAAGATTGCCAAATAGTCCTGGAAAGTGGTAAGTCATTTAATCTGTTGGGGACCATAAAACAGAAGAAAGTGCATATTTTCATAATTTTTTAAATTAGTTGGTTAATGTAAGTAATTGTTTGGATCTTATTTATATACATACATACAAATATACATATGGAGCCCTAGTTAAAGAACTCAGCTACTAACTGAAAGGTCAGTGGTTTGAACCCACCATCTGCTTCATGGGAGAAAGATGAAGCAGTCTGCTTTTGTAAAGATTTACAGCCTTGGAAACCCTAGGGGGCAGTTCTACACTGTAGAACTATAGGGTCCTATAGGGTCACTATGAGTTGGAATTGACTTGATGGCAGTGGGTTTGGTATTTTGGTCATATATGTATATGTATATGTATATGTATATGTATATGTATGTATATATATATGTACTTGATGGCATGCGACAACAACATGTATATACCCACACACACACACGTGTATGTATATATAACTTTTATTTGTATTTCAAAACTTTTATAGTACTCCTACCTTTTTTGTAGAGCTGATGCTTTGATTATAGTTAGTGTAAGAATTCATTTTCTTAAAAAATGTTTGGTCAATATTTTAGGCATAGTGGAGGAATCATTAAGGCATTTTATTGCATTATACTAAATATAAATTAGATTTAATTAGAAGGATACAATTAAATATTTAAATATTTAATGGTGTAAATGATATCTTTATTTATCCTTGTAGAACCTGTCATCCAAGTCAATTCTTGGGTTGGGATAAGCAATAAAGATGATCAGTTATATGCTGTTAAGAATAACTTTCCAGCCTCTATACACACTACAAGATATTCTCGAAATGATCTGCACTTAGAAGACATACAGACAGATGAGGACAAGTTAAACTGTAGTCTTCTCTCTTCAGAGTCTACTTTTATGCCAGTTGCATCAGGATTATCACCAGTATCACCTACAGTTGAGCTGAGGCTGCAGGGTATTGATTTGGACCTAGAAGATGATGGTGTTGCAGATGATTCTGTGAAAGGGCTGGAAAACCAGGACATGACTAAGGAAGAGGAAAAGGCTTTATGGGCTGCAAATGAGAATTCTGTTAAAATAATGCAAAATGAGATCAGTGCAGAGGTAAATGAGAAAACTGGGCTGTTACCTTGTTCTGAACCAACAAGTGCTCTCTTGAAGGATGGTAACCATAGTCTTACATCTCTTCCTAAGTCAGCTGGACACAGTGTTCTCCATACAAAGCCAGATAGTGAGGAAACCATCTCTCAAACAGCCTTAGAGAAACTTTCCTATAGAATTTCAACCCAAAGATCTGTTGCTTTGAGGCAAGATAAAATCGCCCCTCAGAAATTGAATGAAGCAGCCACCAAACTTCAGGCCTGTTGGCGGGGCTTTTATGCCAGGAACTACAACCCTCAAGCCAAAGATGTGCGTTATGAAATTCGGCTGCGTAGAATGCAGGAACACATTGTCTGCTTAACTGATGAAATAAAGAGGTAGGTCAAAAGTCGGTTTGTTGGGTCAGATTTTCAGAGCTGATTCCGAACCATGTGTCATTTCTAGTGTGGTCAGACAATTTCCACATTTTATTGCTATTAGTTTACTTGTTTGTCTCCATTAGACCAAAAGCATCTTGAGGACAGACATTGTCATATGTATCTCCATCTCTAGCACAGAGATTGGTACATAGATATAGTATAGCAATAAACGTTGAATGAGTGAAAGCGAGCATTATGGAAGAGCTTTATAGGCATCTATAATTCTAATCATGGAGAGATACAGAAAATGTAGAAAAACTGAAAAAGTATAAAAATAGGAAAATGAGAAAGCCTAGGTAGAACCTAGTTGGTGACATAAAAGTTGAAGAATATAGGAGGGATTCAAAAGGAGCTAAAATTCTGGGTTTATGGTAGGAATTATTCCTTAATTCCATGGCTCACAGCTTTACTCACTGCCAACCCCCAAAAATTTGGATGTCATAATTTATTTTTAATATTAATACTAAGCTAGCAATATTTATTAATATCAAGTAGAAGAGGATGAGGCAGCAACAGAGACTGAGAAGGAGCAGTGACAGTGAGAGGAAAACTAGGACATCCTAACTCTAATGGAGGAAAATATTTCAGGAGAAAAAAGAGGTGCTGTAGGGTGAGGATAGAGAATGATCTATTAGATTCAGCAGTTGGAGATTATTGGTGATGGTGTTGGGGTCTCCATATCACTCCCAGGTTCAGTGATTTACTAGAAGGAGTCATCAAGCTCAGAAAAAGTTAAACTCATAGTTATGGTTTATTACAGTGAAAAGAGACATTAAAGTAAGCAAAGAAAAATGCATATAGTACAGAATCCAGGAGAGAGTAGGTACAAGCTTCCCATTGTCATCTTCCAGTGGAGTCATTTGAAACTAGAATGAAGGCCAGATGAGAATGGGCTGTGTAGTGAATGGGAGCTGAAGAGTTGAAGGACTGAGTATAGCAACTCTTTTTGTGTTGCTGTGAGGAATAGAGTAGAATGGTTGCTGGAGGAGGTTGTAGAGTCAAAGAGGTTTTGAAAAGATAAGAGATGGCAGAGCATGTTTGTGTGCTGATGAGAATGTTTCAGCTGAGAGGGAAAAACTGATGCTGCAGAGGAAAGAAGAGATACTTTCAGAATTGAAGGTCTTGAGGTGAGAGAAGAGATCCAGTGCACACTGGAGGGAGTACCCTGAAGGTAGGAGCAGGTTTAGGCAAGGTGGGAAGTTCGAGGATGGGAGGATGGGGAAGTCCTATTTGACGCTTCATTTGTTTCATTCAAGTAGATGATGTGGTCAGCATCTGAATATGAGGAGAGGAGTAGAAGTGTGGGAAGCTTAAGGAGAAAAGTGTAAGATTGTTATGAGGTACTGTCAAGTCAGTTCCAACTCATAGTGATCCCATGTGAGAGTGGAACTGCCCCATAGGGTTTTTTGGTTTGTACTGTTTATGGAAGTAGACTGTCAGATCTTCTTTCCAAGGAACTGCTGGGTGGATTCAAACTGCCAGTTTTTGTTTTTTCTTTTTAGTTAGCAGCTGGTTAACTACCAGGGCTGCTGCTGCTGCTGCTGCTTCTTTTTTTTTTTTTTTTTTTAAATTTTTATTGTGTTTTGGGTGAAAGTTTACAGAGCAAATTCACTTTCCATACAGCAGCTCACATACCCTTTGTCTCATGACATTGACTACAATTTCCCACAATGCAACAGTTCCCCTCCCACTTCTTCCCCATAGTTACCTCTTCCCTGAGTCTTTCCCTCCCATGCCCTCCTGCCCCCCTGAGCTGTTTCCCTGTGCATACACAGCCCTTCTATTCTCCAATGATTGATCTCTCCAAGGAGTGTTTCTGTCTATTGTAAATGTTCAGCTCACATACCTGTCTTTTGTTTGGCTGGAAGCCACAGGAGTGGGTTTAATTCCAGATCTGGAGGGCAGCTCGGGGCCATAGTCTCAGTGGTTCATCAGGCTCTATCAGACCAGCAAACCTGGTTCTTTTTTTTTTTTTTTTTAATGATTTTGAATTTTATTCCACCTTGTTCTCTCACTCTGTTCAGGGTCCCCCTCTGAGTGGTTGATGGTGGTAGCCGGACACCATCTAGTTCAGGTCTCATGGTCATATAGGCTGATGATCACATGGTGTACCAGTCATTTGAACTAATTGTTTCCATGTGTCTTTGGTTTTCTTCATTCTTCTTTGCTTTGGCCAAGGAGAGACCCATTGTTGCATCTAGATGGCCACTTGCAAGATTTTAAGATCCTAGTCACTGCTCATCAAAGTAGGATGTGGAAGTGTTTTTGTGTAGTATGTTATGCCAATTGAGCTTGATGTCCCCAGGGCTGCTTCATTTTTTTAATTGTGATTTGGGTGAAAATTTACAGAGCAAATTCACTTTCCATGCAGCAGTTCACATACACTTTGTCTCATGACACTGACTACAATTTACCTCAATGCAACAGCTCCCCTCCCACTTTCTCCCGATAGTTACCTCTTCCCTTTGTCCATTCCTCCATGCACTCCTGCCCCCTGAGGTATCTCCCTAGGGTGGCTTCTTTTGAGGTATAAGGTAGTCATCTTAAAAGTGAGTTCATGAGGGAAATGAAGTAAAATTGTTGGACAGTATGAGGAGGAACTCAAAGTGCAAAACAGTCTGTCAAGTTGTATATTTTCACCAGAAACTCTCAGCTCCTCTGTTCGGATTCAGGCATTATAAGTTGGGTTCTGACAGGAGTAGGTTTTTTTCCAGCTGAATATGGTGGGGGGAGAGAGGAAAGGGAAAGGCAGCTGAAGATACTTGCAAAGAAGTGATTATAATGATGGATCTAGAAATTTAAATGAAGTAAGAGACAGGAGTGGGGGTCATTGGATTGATGGTCTAGATGAAGATTAGAGGTCTAGAATGTTGCACTGGATTGCAAGAAAAAGTGAACTGGGAGAGTCGGAAGATGATTCGTGGTGAGTGCTCGTAACCAGTTTTGAAAATTGTGTAGTCACAATGATTGGGTCTAGGGGGAGACCATGAAAATGGATGACTGATGAGGGGTGCATTATTGTGGGTTAGAGCATCCATGTGAGTGTTGAAGTCTCAAAGAATGATAACAGGAACAGGGCAGAGAGAAAGACAATGAGTCTAGTGCTGAGACTTTCATGAATGAGGGTGGGTAATGAGAGGTTAGTAGCTGACAAGGACTTTTGGGAAATTTAGCAGTGGCAGGCAGGAGCTTGAAGGAGAAAGGTAAAGAATCATTTGAAAACAGCACTGAGAAGCAATCTGATGTATGAGAGAAAAATATAGCCTCCATTTGAGAGGGCTGTGGTGCCAGTAGAGTAGGGTCTGGTTTGGTCAAGAAAAGTTCAGAAAAGATGTTGTGTATATGAGGCAGTTCGCTGATGACAATTCAGGAGTTCTTGATGACACAAGGGGTCTGTGGGTGATGCAAATGGTTAACATGCTCAACTACTAGCCAAAAGGTGGACGTTTCCAGTCCACCCAGAGGTGCCTGGAAGAAAGGCTTGGCATTCTGCTTAAGTAAAATCATCCATTGAAAACCCCATGAAGCACAGTTTTAATCCTGGGGTCTCCTGAGTCAGCATCAGCTCCACTGCAACTTAGATGGCACAAGAGAAGGGTTCACGGGTCAGAAAAAGTATGGAATTGGGTCAGAGCTTTGGAATAGAGTAGTGAGATAATGGATAACTAGGGAGCCTTGATTGTCTAATAGAGTAAATATGGAGAAGGTGGCAGTGAGACCATAGCTAAAACTTGATGAATGAGAGGAAGTGATAGGTGAGAAGGTGTGTTAATGATAGCAAAATGACAGGGTCCAGGGCAAACAGAGATAAGAAGTTTGATGAAATTAGCTTTGTTAATGTCTTAGAAGAAGATAGTTCAAGCTGTGATCTCAAATACAGGTAGTCCTTGATTGTGATGGGGTTTCGTTCTGACAACTCTATTGTAAGTCAGTTCTGACATGTATTCTATTTACATCTTTTTCTTTTCTTAAGTTTTCATTGTTATTGCCTTTTATTATCAGTATCTTTATAAATCCAATTTTATATTTATCTTTGGGGGTTGGAAACATTTCATATAAATTTACAGATGGGATGACATTAGCAAATTACATACTGCAGCATTATATGTAGTACATATTACTAATGGCAAGATGTTTTAAAAAAAAAGTGCTGTTTGACCTAACTCAAAAATGTTGTAAATTGGGGACTACTTGTACTAAATGTGGTGTTTTGGAACCTTTGAGTAACTATTACTTTATGCAGCTCCTGTCCCCTTCCTGCTGGGGCTGGGAAAGCTAAAGAGCCATTTCATATTTTTTATCACTGGCAACACTTTGTAGAATTTATGTAATCTGAATTTCAGCCATATCTTATTTGGCTTCTATTTTGAGCACAGTTTAAAACTGAAGTTTCAGCTTAGTTCTTCTAAAAGTGGAAAGGATTATTAGAATATTAATCTCTAACATGAGTTTTATAGTTGTAACAGGAAGTGCACATCAAAGCACCCTTCCTTGCGTCAGTAATGTATTTTGAATTATTGTAGATTGAGAAAAGAAAGAAACGAAGAACATATTAAAAAGTGTGTGCAAGAAGAGGCTGTCAGATTCCTTTGGAACCAGGTAAACTTCCTACTGATTTACCTGATGTATAAACAAAGAAAAATTTTAGATTTATTGAGATATTTTTAGAGTAGTCAGATATATTAAACACCTTCCTCAAGGTGAAGGGCATGGCTTGTTTACCATTTTACTGACTCTGAAAGAGGACAGTAAATTTTGTTTCATTTATCTGAAGGAAAATATTTTCATAATTTTGAGAAGGAAGATAGTATAAAGTTGAAGGAAAGTAGTTCAGAGATGTTGTTGTAACTTTCCAATAGATACAAAAAACCTAATTTGAAATTTTATGTAGCTATTTGGTTTTATCTTGTTAAACATTATTGTGGAAATATTTGAATGAAAAGTGACAAAGATGGTATATGATGGCTCTAGTATGCAAGTCCTAACAATGCATAACTGCTTGAAAAAGAGAGTTTGAATCTTGTAATAATGCATTTTAGGGATAGTTCAGATGATTGGTTTTATTACTATTTTATTGCATCAAATACTTCATGATAATTTCTTAGAATTATTATTTTTTTTAATTTTTAATTTGGTTTGGGTGAAAGTTTACAGAGTAAATTCACTTTCTATACAGCAGCTCACATATACTTTGTCTCATGACATTGACTATAATTTTCCACAAAGCAACAGCTCCCCTCCCACTTGTCCCCATCGTTACTTCTCCCTGTGTCCTTCCTTCCTGTGCACTCCTGCCCCTCAAGCTGTCTCTCTGTGCATACAGATCCCTTCTATTCTCCCATGATTGATCTCTCCAAAGAGTGTATCTTCCTAATGTAAATGTTTAGCTCATATGCCTGTCTTTTGTTTGGTTGGAAGCCATGGGAGTGAGTTCAATTCCAAACCTGAAGGTCAGTGAGGGGCCATCATCTCAGTGGTTCCATAAGGCTCTGTCAGACCAGCAAACCTGGTCCCTTTTTTTTTTTTGAATGATTTTGAGTTTTGTTCCATATTGTTTTCTCGCTATCCAGGATATCTTACATAGATCCCTCTCTGAGTGATTGACAGTGGTATCTGGGCACTATCTAGTTCTTCTGGTCTCATAGTCGTATAGGCTTAGGTTGCATGGTGTACCAGTTGCTTAGACTAATTGTTTCCATGTGTCTTTGGTTTTCTTAATTCTTCTTTGCTCTGGATAAGGAGAGACCCATTGTTGCTTGCAAGCTTTTAAGATCCTGTGGTGTAGTAAATTACTTAGTGTGGCTTTTCTACCCATAAGTCTTTGTAAACGCCAAGGTGGGATTTTCTTTGAGCAACTGAGGAGCTCCTGATTGCTGAAGTTGTCCATCTGGAGTATTTCTGTTGGGAGTGGCACAAAACAATGTTCTGGGAGGTGCCCACTCTCTCTCAGGTGCTTAGAGTTCTGATGCTATGATTGGCCAATTTGACCACCCTGCCGGGCTCAAAAGGAGGCCTCCTAGAGGCGGAACTCTCTCTGACTGCTGGTTGAGGAGGACGTGCTGCTGAAAGAGACACGCGCTGCTGAAAGAGACACGTACTGCTGGGAAAGAGACATGAGATATGCATTGCTGAGACACCAAGGGACCAGCGCTGCTGGGAAAGAGACTGTGAGAGACTGTTGGCTGAGGGACGGTGGGCTGGGAGAGAGACTGAGCTTTTTTCCTGAACTTGAGTTGTAGCCTGTGGTACTTCCCTAATAAACCCCATAATCTGTGAGCTCTTTGTGGCCACTGCAGCGAATTATCGAACCCAGGAGAGAGGTGGTGAGTGCTTTGGGAGGAATGGTTGGAGAAAGGGCTGGAGGGAGGCAGCATGTCTGGCCTTGCAGTAACAGCCCTTGTGTTACTGCTGGTAATCCTGTCTTCCTCTTGTGGGATTAGAGGAGGTCAGAACATGTGGGCTCCTTGCCCTTTTCGCAGATCCCAATCACTACTTGCCACAGTAGGATGTGGAACAATGTTTTGTGTAGTGTATTATGCCAATTGAGGTTGATGTCCCCTGTGACTATAGTCCTGAGCCCATAGGTCCAACCACTTGCTCCCTCTGGGTAGCTAAGCTGGCTGTGGCCAAGAAGTGACTACAACCTTGCCCCTTGTTATCCCTACTATATACCTGGGAATTCTTACAGAACATACATATACACTTGTAGAAACATTGTCTGCCAACCCTATGCATGGTCTTGGGCACACTTCCCCCCTGCATAGATGTACCTAATACTTCAGCCTGTGCACCCATCTATCCACTCCTATGTCACTGTTTGCCTTTACTGACAACACAGTACTGTATGTGCATAAGGGTTCATCTTTATTGTCTGTACCTCCATGCACTCTCTATGTCTTCCTCTTCCTCAGTGCCACTGTGTTGATCACTCACATTTGGTATATTGCCCGTCTCTTCACCCGTTCATAGAAATATTTTTATAAAATAATTTATTATGATGAGATTTGACCCACAAATTTAAAAAATAGTTGTTGATTTTTAAGATTCTATAATTATCAACAGTAGGCAGTTAAAAAAGAATAAGTTAACAGTTTGGACTGACATGGAAAGATCTCCAAAATAATACTGCTTAGTGAAAAATAAAATTAGTTTCAGAACTATATGTCTCTTAGGATTCCACTTACGTTTTAAAAAGCTCTATGTACTGTATTCGAAAATACAAAGCAAAAGGTCTGGAAGGGTATGTCTTAAACTACTGTCGATTACTTTGGAGGATGATAAAAAAATTTCATATATTGGTTTTAGTTTTTACTAAGTGTATCATTCTTTTGAAATTTTAAGAATATTAAAAAAGTAAACGTAATATTATCAAGAACTTGGAATATTTTAGAGAATTGCATATATTATATTATTAGATAATGTTTTAAAACTCTTATCCCTACATGATTATCTAAAAGTGACTTGTTTTAGAGGATTGACTTATATATTAGACACTAATCTTCCTTAAGAAGCTCTGGTAGCATAGTGCCTAAGGCACTTGACTGCTATCCAGAAAGCTGGTGGTTCAAACCCACCAGCCACTCCTCGGAAGGAAGGTTGGGCAATCTACTTCCATAGTGATACCGCCTCGGAAACCCAAGGAGGGGTTGCTATGAGTCAGGTCTGACTTGATGGCACATAACAACAACAACAACAATCTAACTTATAGGAGCCCTGGTGGCAAATGGTTAAACCACTCAGCTGCTAACTGAAATGTTGGCGGTTTGAACCCACCAGCCACTCTGCAGGAGAAGGATGTAGCAGTCAGCTTTTGTAAAGATTTACTGCATTGGAAACCCTATGGGGCAGTTCTCCTCTGTCCTACAGGGTTGCTAGGAGTCAGACTTGACTAAATGGCAGTGGGTTTGGGTTTTTTTGAATCTGTCTTATTGAATGGCACTCACTGTGTATTGAGTACGTTGTTGACCCCTCAGTCAGCTAGGTATGTACTCTATGGTTTGAATTGTCTTTTCTGTAGAAGTAGAGAGAATTGCTTTGGGCCATCCCCACTCTCCTAGTGAGGGGCTTTTGTAATTAAGGTCATGTACCGTTTGTGCCAGCCTGGTTTTGGCTGGCAGCATGATGGAAAGGGCAAAGGCTTTGGCCAAAAAAACCAAACTTACTATTGTCGGGTCGATTCAACTCATAGCAACTCCTCCTTGGTTTCCAAGTTGGTATCTCTACCAAGTAGGTACCAAGTAGGTTGCCCAGCCTTCCTTCTGAGGAGTGGTTGGTGGGTTTAAATTGCCAGCCTTCTGGTTAGCAGTCAAATGCCTTAGGCACTACGCTCCTAGAGCTCCTAAAGGCTTTGGAGGCAGGCATTTTATAACTCTGGTTCTGCCATTTACCAAATTCAAGATGATTGGAAACAAAGTTTAAAGGGCAATTGTTAGACAGGCATGATTTTTATTTTTCAGGGTAACTATATCCTCTGTTTTATAGGTAAGGTCTCTACAAGCTTGGCAACAGACCGTGGACCAGCGCCTCAGTTCCTGGCATACTGATGTTCCTATGTCAAGTACTGTGGTGCCACCTAAACCTCCATTATTCACTCAAAGTGAAGAACCCTCTTCTGATCAAAATTCAGTCTGGTTCGTTGCTCCTGATGAAGCTCTTCAAGAGAAATCCTTACCAGAATTTCCAGACTCTGGTTTTCATTCCTCCCTTACAGAACAAGTTCATTGTTTACAAGTGTCTTTGGAATTTGAAAAATGTTCCACAGAGGGCAGTGAATGTTCCATAATGGGGAATTCCACTGACACAGTCAAATATGGCAGGGAGTCAGATTTAGGGGATGTTAGTGAAGAAAATGGTGAATGGAGTAAGGAAAGCTCAAACAATGAACAGGATAATAGTCTGCTTGAACAGTATTTATCTTCAGTTCAACAGCTGGAAGATGCTGATGAAAGGACAAATTTTGATGAAGGAATAGGAGATAGTAAGCTTCACATAGCTTGTTCCCTGGAAAAATTAGATGCCTTGTCTGACAGTGCTTCTGTAGGTGAGACTCATGGCATAGCTCCTGCTTTGCAAGATGAAATCAGCCAGACACCAGAGAATTGTAAGCTAGATGCAGAAGTTCAAGGGCAGCAGCCAGAATGTGATCCTACATTTCAGGTATTGCATGTTGGTATTACTGTGTAGCATGTCTGGTTGCTTGGGAGGCAGAAATACACTTTTCTTAAAAATGTTTTCTGTTTAATTTTTGTTCATCATTTTTGGAGGGGAGTACTTACCCTAATTCTTTTACTATTTATGTAGGATTTATGTTCTTGTCTCATAGTTCCTGATTCTACATAATGAGCTGAGTCTTCATTTTGATTCTACTAACCTTTTACTAAGCTTCAATGTACCAAACAATATTTCCACGGAGAACTATATGTACTTTCTTTTTTAATAATTGAATTGCATCAAAGATGTTTCTTTTATGTACTCAGATTATTTCCTTTAAAAAATAAACTAGATTATCTAAAGAAAAAGAGAAAGTTTTATCTTCAAGATATAAATAAGAGAATTTTGATTCTTTTCTATATGAGGAAATAATTAGGTAGTAAAGAATGTAATTGTTAAAACAAATATAATGACAACTTTGAGGATGGTGAATTATTGAAAGTTTCCTATCTTCCTAGAGTAAGAACATGGTTTTTAAAGCCTTTTTCGTCACTTAACCATAAGGAAAGCCTTCTTATGAGCAAATTTAGGAAGAAAAGATAAGATTATGAATTTCTCAGTGGGGGTGCTTAATATGTCTCATGGAACATTTTAGTTAATGTCATATATCAGTTTTAACATACAAAGTAAAGTGTTCTATCCAAGTTTAAAATCAGGTTTACTTAGAAAACACAAGAACATTTCTCTTAGTTGTGAAGAAGTAAATGCTGGGCTCCATTTATTTGGGATATAGCCATGGCAAACATTTATTATTTTTTCATTTAGTCCTTTTTTTTTTTTTTTTTCAAACCCTATAGATAAACATTTATGTGCCAATATATTTCCAGAAATTAATGTATGTTCATGTGTTCTGTTCCTTCTTATGTTTGCTTATGTATTTCAGCAGAAGGTTTGTGGCCATTCAGTTCATTTTTGATCTCTGCCGCCATAGGGAGAACATACACAGTGATACTAGTGACAGACTATGAAGGCCTTTTTTTAAAATATAATTTCTGTATCTAAAATGCTGGAAAGGTGCCACATTTGCAATATGGTTTAATGGTGGTTAAGAAAAAATAAATAAATAAACCTTACTTATTTCTTTACTTGCTAGAGAGAATATATATCCATAGCTTTGGAAATAAATGACAAGATTGTGTTTGAATGTTATGGTAGAGGAATTTGTAAATGAAGGATAATTTTTGGAAACTTGATATTTTGATCTTTAAGAATGTTTTAATAGCATTGAACAACACATATCTGATTTTCCCCAATCCGTGAACATACAACTCTCTACAACTATGGCAATACCTAAGTGTTCTCTAAATTTAGGTGCTAAATGTCTATTCATTATTCTGTTTCTGTCACTGGGTCCCCTTCTTTGAAGTTATATAAACTTCTGATCCTTCAAGTATAAAATCAGGGATCACATGTTATACTTTGTTGATAGTTAGAAATGTTTCTGTAGTGTAAAATGTATTTTTCTGGATTTATAAATATGTAGCACTCAGGTTGAGAAGATTTAGATTTCATTCTTGGAAATCCAGAATCTCTTGCAGAGAAAATGTTTTCTGTATCTTATAACCAAAATAACTGTCTTACCTTCAAAAGGATTTTCCCTAGCTAAGCATGTGTAACATTGAATGCATGTTAAATAAAAACTGAATTTTTTACTTTTTGAATAATGCTAGTTATCGTGTATGAATGATTTTGAATTTCTTCTTAGATATACCCTATTTTTCTATTTTACAGTTAAGTGCCTCATTTGGTGCCCATAGTTAGACAAAGAAAAAACAACTTGCACTGTACCAGTACCAAAGTGCTACTTCATGGTACATTAAGTTTTCATAAAAGCTGCTGAAATGTCATGGTTCAGTATTACCTGTGTGAGGTGTCTGTTAACATCCTCTCCTGCCTCTTTTTTTAAGAAATGGTGAAACAGAACTAAATTCATTTGAACATTAACATTTATCGGCAGGATTTCCTTTTTTTTTTACTTTTACTTTGTTTTTCTAGACCGTAAATAGTATTCAAAATACTTTTATAAAAAATTGAAAGAATTATTAATTTTCTGCTCATTTATATTTTACTTAAGTTTTATTACTTTGAAGTATAAGAATATTAAGCAGCCCATGCCTCTTAACTGTACGTTGTTTGTTGTTGTTATGTGCCATGGAATTGGACCCGACTCATAGCGACCCCTCCTTGGGTTACCAAGGTGGTATCACTACGGAAGTAGAATGCCCAACCTTCCTTCTGAGGAGTGGCTGGTGGGTTTGAACCGCTAGCTTCTGGGTAGCAGTCAAGTGCCTTAGGCACTGTGCTACCAGAACTCCTCCTTAACTGTACAGATTATCTTAAATGAAAATAAGGTAAGTTAGAATGTAGGAAGTCTGTGGCATAGACTTAATATATGGGCTTACATTATAAATTAAAAGTATGTTACTAAACAATTTGGTAACTATGGGCTATTCACTGGTCTGGCTTAAGAGGGAACGGGTGTACTAAGGTTGGGGAGGTTGAGCTTTGAACACAGTGTTTTTTTTCCTAACAGGAGAGGTTTAGTTCAACTGTTCTATTTTAGTTCATATCAGATCTCTTGATTTCTGAAAAACTCGGTGTATCAATAGAAATTTCTGTGGAAGCATAGATTCATACCATATAAGTGCTGGAAGGAACCTTAGAGATTATAATTCTCTTTATTTTAAAGATGAAACTAAGGAACAGAAGTTAAGTGAGTTACCTAAGGTTACAGCTACTTAGTAATAAATATACTTGAAAACTTAAATGTTACTGTATTAGAATATTGTATCATACTCTTCCTATTAATCTCTACAAGGAGCTCTGGTGGTACAATGGTTAAAACATTTGGCTGCTAACTGTAAGTTTGGAGGTTTGAATCTAACAGCTGCACCGTGGGAGAAAGCTGAGGCAGTCTGCTTTCCTGAAGATTTACAGCCTTGGAAGCCCTAAAGTGCTGTTCTGCTCAGACTTACTTATAGGATCCCTATGAGTTGGAATTGACCCTATGGCAGTGGATTTGGCTTATTAATCTCTACATTTAACGAGTCAGTAGGGGAGTCTCTGTATATTTTTCATACTCTCTGAAAGAGGAAAAAAAATGAGCTAGAACTCTACCGCTCAAGGTAGAGTTGCTTGTAGAAAATAATGAATCCCTTCAGATGCCTGAGTGAATTTTCTCTAAGAAATGCGATTTGATTAGAATGTTTTTTAAAGAACAGTATCGTACAAATTAAATTTTTAGAACAGAATAACTGCACCTTAGAGTTCGTGTATTTGATAACAGGAATATGACAGGTTGCTTATAAGTATAAACTTTTCTAGTGAAATGTTGAGTTTAATTATGTTTCATCTTCAGTTTTATGGAAGACTAGATGTTAAAGTTTTAACTTTCCCAGTATGCTGAAAGCTTTAATCGTGCCATTTGATATATACGCAATTTAATTTTATTTTAAAATGATAAAAGGCCACATAATATGCATGTTTCAGGAAAATGTTCATTTACTTAGCTACACAATTAATTGTACATATGCAAATAACTTTATTCTTGAATAATGTGGGTGCCATTCTTGAATATAGTTTTCCCTTACTTGTTTTGGATTATATTAAATATATAAACGCTGTAATAGTGTATCTTCCTGTCATCTACTCAAGACAAGTATAGTTCCACTTTTTATAAATATTTCCAAGAAAAAAGGAATAATACAGGCTTAAGACATCATACTGTCTCCTTTGGTACTTTTTTTTTTGCACAAATTCTTAGAATTGGGCTTGTAACATTAATAATATAAAACTATCCTTTCAGAAGAATTAATACATAGTAAAAAGGGAAGTACTAGGATGAGCCTGATCAATTTCCCATTCATAATGAAAAGGATAAGGGACTTCATTATTTAGTGTTTTTATTTTGCTATGTACCTTATTAAAGAATATTTATTATATTGTAATGTTTTAACTTATATGACCTCATTCATGAAGTAAAGCAGAGAGGATCTATGAAGAACGTTCTAAACATTTTAAATGAGATTGCTTTCAATGATCAAACCTATTGTGCCATATTAAAATTAAAAGTCAAGTAAACCAAGCGGTCCTCATAGCCTTGGGGAGAAAAATAATTAATTATATTTTAAAAATTAGGTGCTTTTTTGTGTATGAATAATATTAAAATTTAATTACTGAATTCAGTGGATGACAGGAATTGCTCTGTAGTGGTTTTGTTAATTTATGATTAAATTTCTTTGAGTGTTTTATAGTAATTGTAATATTGGCAATAAGAGTTGAAAAATAATTTGATGGTGGACTCTTTTAAAATTTCTCTTTGATTCTGTTGTAGAAATAGTAGTGGTTATGGTCTGTTTTATGAAGGCTTAATATTGTAATTATTTAATTTGTATTTGAGTCTTTAATTTTAAATAAAAGGTTTGTACATTGTTTGAGTTCATCATCTGTGTTATAGTGACCGCTGGTAATCGTTCTTATTCATTGTGTTTTTAATTCATGGGTAAATAAAATTCAGAACAAGTTGTAAATAAAACTCTACTAAGTAAGGTCCTGAGTATTGTGATATAACTGAAGTAATAATAAAACAGCCCTGTTGTTGTTGTTATTTGCTGTTGAGTTGGACCCGACCCATAGCGACCCCTCCTTGGGTTTCCGAGGCAGTATCACTACGGAAGTAGATTGCCGCATCTTCCTTCTGAGGAGTGGCTGGTGGATTTGAACCGCCATCCTTCTGGTTAGCAGTCAAGTGCCTTAGGCACTACGCTACTAGAGCTCCCAAAACAGCCCTAGCCTTATGAAAATGAAGACAAAGGGGTGCTAATTTAATTTGGTATAGATTTAATTATTTCCTGAGTACTCTCTGGAATTTGTAGAGAAGAGCAGATATTGTTTCTCAAAGAAGATAACATTGTTAGATGCTGGTGAAGGCAATGGATGCTGGAAGTGTTAGGGTGTGAAATGAGTAAGTAGAGTAGAAGTTCCTCATTTGACACATTACCTAGCTGGTTAATCAAAAGATTAGTTAGAGCAGGGAATCATAAAAACAATATATATTTCATAAACTTTTAAAAAAATGTCTTTCTTGAGATACAATTGACTTACAATAAACTGCACATATTTAAAGAAGACTGGTTGGTAAATTTTGATGCATATATGCCCATGAAACCATCACAGAAATCAAGATATTGAACATATTCAGCACTCCCAAAAGTTTTCTCATCCTCTATTTTGTAATCCCTTTGTAATCTCTCTCTATATTCTGTCTGGTTTCTTTTACACAGCGTAATTATTTTGAGATTCACCCAGTAATTCATTCCTTTTTATTGCCAAGTTGTATTCTATTATGTATTTGCTACAATCTGTTTATCCATTCATCTCTTGATGGACATTTGG